ATGTCCCAGAGGCGACGCTCGCATGCGTCCGCTCTGTCGAGTATAGCGCTTCGTGGCCGCATAGAGAGCTTCACCAAAGGCCCCAGAGGCGACGTTCGCATGCGTCCGCGCCACCCAGTACAGCGCTTCGTGGCCCCATAGTGGTCTCCACCGAATGTCCCAGAGGCGACGCTCGCATGCGTCCGCTCTGTCGAGTATAGCGCTTCGTGGCCGCATAGAGAGCTTCATCGAAGGCCCCAGAGGCGACGTTCGCATGCGTCCGCGCCACCCAGTACAGCGCTTCGTGGCCCCATAGTGGTCTCCACCGAATGCCCCAGAGGCGACGCTCGCATGCGTCCGCGCCACCCAGCACAACGCTGCGTGGCCCCATAAGGAGCTCCGCCGAACGTCCCAGGGGCGACCTTCGCGTGCATCCGCGCCACCCCAGTACAGCTCCACCGACGGCCCCAGAGTCGACCTTCGCATGCGCCTCCCCCGCACGGTGGGGCGACCGACGGCCCCAGTGGCCGCGGCCGTATTCGTCTCCCCCGCCCAATACAGCGCTTCGTGGCCCCCGAGGGGACTCTGCCGAAGACCGCAGTGGCCGCGGACGCATGCGTCTCCCCGACCCAGTACCGCGCTCCGTGCCCCCCAGAAGGAACTCCATCGAAGGCCTCCGTGGCCGCAAAAATTGCGTTCCCCGCGCACGGTGCAGCGCTCCGCGCCGCCGTGGGGAGCTCCGCCAGAAGGTTCCACAGGCTGCGGCCGCAGGCGTCCCCCCCCCCCGCCCCGCACGATTCATCGCTCCGTGGCCTCCTACGGGGGCTCCTGCGAGAGCTCCAGTGGCCGCGGCCGCACGCGTCTCCCCCACCCAGGACGGCGGCTCGTGGCCCCAATGGGAGCGCTTCACCGGCGGCCGCACGCGGCTGCGGCCGCGTGCGGCCACCCCGGGCAACGCAGCGCGTCGTGGCCCCACGGGGTCTCCAACCGAGGCCTCCCAGGCGACGTTCGCGTGCCTCCGCGCCGCCCGGCGCGGTGATTCTCAGGAGGGGAGAAACACACAGACACAATGAATCGTCGACTCCCAAGAAAATATGCAGAAGTATGGGAAATGGGGGGGGGAAGACAAAAACCGAGAAAATATGGGGAAATATGGGGAATCGTTTTATTTGTGTGTATTTATGTGTGTGTCCTGGGGCCCCTTCAGATTCGTGACCCACTATGGAGCCCCACCGAATTCCCATGGGCCCACGGGGAGCTCCACCGAAGGCTCCAGAGGCGACGTGCGCAGGCGCCCGCGCCGTCCGCGCCGCCCAGAGTAGCTTGTCGTGGCCCCATTAGGGAGCTCCACCGCAGGCCCCTGAAGGCGACGTGCGCCCGCGCCCGCGCAATTCCAGTGCAGCGCGTCGGGGCTCCGATGGGGAGCTGCACCGCGTGCCTCGGTGAGCGCGGCCGCGTGCGCCTCCCCCGCCCAGTGCAGCGGCACAGTCGGGGCCCTGAAGAAGGAACCCTTTTCGTGGGGGAGGGGCTCCGTGCTCCTTGAGATAGTGTCGCAGCTTGCCTCAGGCTTTCCTCAGGTTCTCGACGCGAGATCGACGCTCCACTTCTGGAAAACAGGGGCCTCGTTCCCTATGTTGGGCTCCTTAGGGTCGAGGCCCCGACGGTACAGCGTTTTGTGGCACCAGGCTGAGCCCCACCTCCTCCTCCTCCTCCTTCTCCTCCTCCTCCTTCTCCTCCTCCTCCTCCTCCTCCTTCTCCTCCTCCTTCTCCTCCTCCTCCTCCTTCTCCTCCTCCGCCCCAGAGGCGACGTCCTCATGCGTCCGCGTCACCCGGTGCAGCGTTTCGTGGCCCAGCATGGAGCCCCACCGAAGACCCCTCCGAGTGGCCACGGCCACGCGCGAGCCACCCACCCACTGCAGAGCACCCCCCATCACGCGTGTCGTGGCTGCATAGGGAGCCCCACCGGATACGGTTCCCTCCGCGCGGTGTTCACAGTTGAACATGGTTGGCTCATTCGCCATGGCGATTCCAATCATCTTGTGGTGTTTGGTCTTCGTTTTGGAAAAAAAACAGCGCCCCGCGTCCCACCTCCCCCTCCTCCTCATCCTCCTCCTTCCCTTCCTCCGTCATCCCGCCACTGCCTCTGTCTTCTGCATGTCCGCCGTTCGGCCCCCTCCTCACGCGTTTCGTTACCCTATAGGGGGCTTCGCCGAAGGCTCCAGGGACGACGTTCGCATGCGTCCGCGCCGCCAAATATCGTGGCCCCATAGGGAGCTCAGTCGAAGGCTCCAGGGGCGACGTCCGCACGCGTCCCCGCCGCCCAATGCAGCGTTTGGTGGCCACACGGGGGTTCTCAACGAGGGCCCCTAAAGGCGACGTACGCATGCGCCCGCGCTACCCAGTACATAGCTTCGTGGCCCCATCGGGAACCCGACCGAAGGCCCCATGAGCGACGTTCGCATGCGCCTGCGCCACAGAGCAGCGCTTCGTTGCCCCAGATGGGGGCTCCACCGAAATCCCTTGAGGCGACGTTTGCATGCGTCCGCTCCATCCATCGTCGCGTTTCGTTGCCCCACAAAGAGCTCCACCGAAGGCCTTGGAGGCGACGTTCGCACGCGTCCGATTTATCCAGTACAGCGCTTCGTGGCCCCGTAGGAGCTTCACCGAAGGCTTCAGTGACCGCGGCCGCATGCGTCCCCCCCACCCAATACAGCGTTTCGCGGCCCCACAGGGAGATCCACCGAAGGCACCGCATGCGTCGTTCGCATGCGCCCGCGCCACCCAGAAACGGGGCTTCGGGGCCCCGTTGGAAACTCCATCGGATGCCCTGGAGGCGTCTGCGCCACCCAGCACGAGCTCCACCCAAGGCCTCGGTGGATGCGGCCGCCGCGAAAGCCCTGGCAGGTGCCTGTGCGCCTGTTAGGGTATTCCGCGCGCCGATCCGAGGATTTCGCGCGAGGCTGGCGCGACACCCTGACGTCGGGCGAAGTCTGCGACCGCTGCGCAAAACCAGGGATCAGTAGTCATCGGCGCTCGGCAAGGGATGGGGTACTGGGGATGAGGAGGAGGAGGATCAGCAGACACAGCGGTGGGGACGGGAGGGGGAAGGTGCGAATCTGAGGAGGGGCAGGTGCGAATATGACGAGTATGCGGACGAGCAGCACGCATCGCACCACCCATGGAAGTAAGCGTTCTTTGCATGGTGCCTGCGCGTTGGCACCACACGTAGCCAACACGTGGCCATCTAGAACAAGCACGTCACCAACCTTTATAACCAAACTGTAGCCAGCACTGGCCACGCGCGCACACAATTACATTCCTGTCGCCTTCGCGCAACGTGGAAGGAAGTCCCGAACCACAGCGACGACGCCAGGGTCGCGCGATTGTGTGAGACCGCCGCGCGAGACGTCACTCCTCGCGAATGTAACCGCCAACCTTCGCGGCGCAGTCGCGACTTTCCCCCGGCCATGTCAAGCCAACCGACGCATCATATGCTCCAGGATTGCGGAGCTTTTATCGTATTCATATGCCAAATTTACGACTCCTCGGCAGGTGTTCACATGTAGCCCAGACGCTACGAGCGTTCAGCCTCAACCAAGGTTTCCTTCGCGCGTGAGGACTACCAAGGTTTGGCAATATTCCGCCCCATCGCCAGTGCTGTTTAAGCCTAAGACCATGTCCTCAACCGTTGCCGTTCCGGCTCAAGTCATTGGCCGCTGGGTGTTCTTGGGGCGAGCATTGAGCCGCGCGGGACGTCCAGAGTCGCGCGCGGCGCTCGGGCGAGCTCTCTGCTTTAAATCGCGCCCGCTGTGAGAGCAACGGCTGTGCGCGACGGGCGCTGTCTGGTGCCCTTGCTCTGGGCACGTTCGGCCATGTCGTCGCGAGGGCGCCCCTGCGGCCATTGCTGCGCGTTCGCGCAGCTCGAGGCGATTCCGCGCGGGTCTCAGCGATCATTCGCCTTGTTTCAAAGGGCGCATCGGCGTCAACGTTTCCCCTTCCAGCGCGCGGCCGCACGGGTCTCGCCTGCCCAGGGCAGCGTTTCGTTGCCCCCCCGGGGGGGAACTCAACCCCAGGGCCTCGGTGACCCCGGCCGCACGCGTGCCCCCTACACCTTAGGCGATGCTTAAGAAAACTTAAATTTTCGGCCAGAGGCTCGATTATTCTTAACGTTTCAATGTAAATCCCAAGATTTTGATAGAAGTTCTGGCTTTTTATTCAATTTCTGAGACTGAGAATTTCTTAACCCATGATCTCTCAAGCATTTCGCATGGTGTACCCATCGCTTCGTGGCTCCATGGAGAGCTCCATCCGGCGCTCCAGTGGCCGCGGCCGCGTACGCCGCCCCTGCCAGAAGCCAGGCTCCGTGGCCCCGTGGGGAGCTGAGCTCCACCCAATGGCCCTGGCGGCCGCGGCCGCGCGCGCCCCTCCCCACGCCCAGCGCAGCGCCTCGCGGCCACACGGGGAGCTCCACCGAAACCCCCCCAGTGGACGCGGCCGCGCGCGCCGCCCATCGCAGGACACCCCTGACGCGCTTCGTGGACCCACAGGGAGGTCCACCGCAAGCGGTGCAGACAGCGCGGCGTGCATACGGTAGGTTCGCGTCGTGTCGACCGGCGGCGACCCCGCCGCCGACGTTCAGCGTTGAACGCCGACGGCGGCCCAGAATCGGTCGATGTTGAACGATCGGACGTTGCGGAGACGGCCGATCGTTCAAGGTTGAACGATCCAGCGCGGTGTCAGGAACCAACGCCAAGGTCGGCACGGCACGAACCTGCCGTAACTCCATAAGGGGTGGGCTTTACGCCAAGATCTTTCCTTTGTTTCGGCGCCGCTGCCCTCGTGGCCAGCGGCGACGCCCCTGCCCGAGGCATGCCGCAGGAGGCGGGAGGGGAAATGCGATGACGTCGAAATGCGACGGCGTGACTGCTAGTGTCTTGTGAACCTTCTCCCCGTCGCCCTCCTCCCCCCCCCTTCCCTCCTCCCCCGCCCCGCTGCTCTGGGACCCCTGCGTGCGTTGCTTGGGCGCTGAACGGTTACATCGACCAGATTTTATCATACCTGTCGGTGTGATGTCGCACTGTATCTGTCTGTCCGGTCGAACGGACCCCCTGGTTACATCCACCAGATCTTCTCATACCTATCGGTGTGATGTCGCACTGTATCTGTCTGTCCGGTCGAACGGCCCCCCCGCGTCTAGGATGTGTCTGCAGCAGTTTCCGACGAACCGTTTGGCTTGTGTCGGGGCGGATCTCTTGTATGTAAGGAGATTGCGTGTTTTTTCGATCAGAGTGGTTGCCCGCCAACCAGGTTAGACCGCATCGGAGTGTCGACGCGATTAAGAGTCTTGAAGAAACGACTGCGGTTATGCGGTGACGAAGCGAGCATTTTCCGATGCGAGCGCTCAGCCAGCCCCGACGCGTCTCGCGCGCGTGTAGTTGGCCCATCAAAGGCGCCTTCATTTTTCACGTGGTCTGCTGCGGTCCTGCCTCTCCTCTTGGTTGAAAGACGGTGGGCTTGGCCCCCGTCGGGGATGTGCAGCCACTGTTTCCGTGAATCGGTGGGATTTGAGGGCCCAGTGCAAACAGCAAACCGTGTTTTTTGTTCTTTGCTTAGAGGGGGTTTGGCAATGCAGTCAATGTTCCAAGGGCAGGGTGACACACAAAAACCGAACATCCGCCCAGATTCGTCGGATCGGCGCTGGGCCCCCCTGGCGGTGCGCCAGAAACCCGCGCGGACCTCATAGTTTTTTGTGTCAGCGTTTGTTCTCCCAGATTTTGAAGGCGTGACGGCCGGTGCCGCCGACCCTGAAAGACACCGACGACGACCAGGAGGGGGAGGAGGAGGAGAAGGAGGAAAAGGAGGAGGAGGAGGCGGAGATAAGGAGGCGGAGGAGGAGGAGGAGGAGGAGGAAAAGGAGGAGGAGAAGGACTCCCCCCTGGGACCCGGAGGAGGACCGGCGTGGGAGAGGGGAGGGGGGGGGGGGGCTCCCAGATTTGCAGGGCTTCAGCGGGGATGGATAGGATGCGGGCTCGGGTTGTGCGGCCAGGCGGGGCGAGACGGCCCCGGGGCCTCCCGTGTGCGCGGTGCCGGGTGCGGCCCAAGGGCCGCGGAGCCAGGCTGGGCCCAGCGTGCTCCCCCCCCCCCCCGCAGAGACAAGCTTGAGATTCACGTGCCATGGCGCCAACATCGCAGAGCGGAGTTCGTTCGGGGAACGATGGGATGGGTCGCGGGGGTGTCCTGGAGAAGGTCGCTCCGGATTTCGAGGTGGATCTCGTGCGGATTTGTGCGGTCCAGGCATGGAGATTTAAACACATCCTCGCGAAAGTCACCCCGTTTTTCGCTCGCCGTGTCGGGGCTTGGCCTTGGCAGGGATCCACGCCACGCAAGGGTCCGCTGCAGCACGTCTGCAAGGTCGGCGCAGCGACAGGTGTTGCGGCCGTGTTTCGGGGTAGAGCCTCGATCTCGGGGCCCTCCTCCTCCTCCTCCTCCTCCTCCTCCTCCTCCTCCTCCTCCTCCTCCTCCTCCTCCCTCCTCTCCTCTCCTCTCCCTCCCTCCTCCTCCTCTTCTCCCTCCTCCTCCTCCTCCTCCGCCTCCTCCTCCTCCTCTCCCCTGTGAGCGAGCGAGAGGGGCAACCCCGTCGGAGCGAGGGCAGGCCCAGGAGGGCGCAGGAGCTTCCAAAGCCAGCGCCTGGCTGGTGCGCGGTGACGTCAGCTGTCGTCCTTCCTAGGCACCGTCATGTCGCATCGGGTCCCCCTTCCCTTTCTCCTCCCTCCGTCCCCCTCCTTCTCCTTTCCATCCTCAGCCTCCCCTCTCCGTTTTGTTCCCGTTCAGCCTCCATCCTCAGCCTCTGTCCCTCGGTCTCCCCTCCCCTCAGCCTCCTCCATCCTCAGCCTACCCTCCCTCTCCTTTCCTCCCTTCTCCTTCTCCTAATTTCTCATCCATCCTCCCTCCCCGTTCTGTTCCTCCTCTTCTTCCCCCCCCTCTTCCCCCCGCTGCCCGAGATGGGGGGGGGGGGGTAGGCGGGGTGATTATGCGTGTTTCTGGATGTGGTTGGGGGTTTCGATTTCGCGAGTGTGGATTCCAGTAGAAGGTCAGCGTTTGTTTGCATTTGCGTGTGTGTGTGTGTGTGTGTGTGTGTGTGTGTGTGTGTGTGTGTGTGTGTGTGCGTGTGTGTGTGTGTGTGTGTGTGTGTGTGTGTGTGTGTGTGTGACAGGTCCTTGCATGTGCACTCCGCGCGTTCTCGCGCTAATTATCTTGCGCTGTGCCCCAGCCTCGGTCCTTACGCCCTCTGGACTTTTCCTTGCGGGCCGCTGATCAAACAAGTGTGTGTGTGTGTGACCGAATTGAGCAACACTTTCAACCCAATTGGCGTTATCTGTCTGCGCTGGATGGGTGCCGTAGCCATCTTGGCTCAAGGGTCCAGGGCCACCAGGTCACAGCCAATCTCCGCACTGTACTTTTACATCTTCCTTCACCTTGTAAACGTGTTGGTCCAGCAAATGGGCGCGGCCTCCATACAGCGGTGGCCCATGCCAAGAAACACCCTGCTTGCCTCCAGGGTGCCCTGGGTTTCCTGGGTCTCGATGGTTTTGATATGGAAAGCGTGACGTCCCCACGCCAAACAATCAGTGCACGTCCTGGGGTCTCAGGGTTGGGTTTTTTGTGGAAGGTTTCTCGTGGTCGGACCCCCACGTTGCAGACGAGATCAACCCTCTCATCTCCGCAGCAATCAGGCGTGTCGCTGAACACGAGACATGGATGGTGGAGGCACGCACGTTTCGATGCCCACGGCTCTCGCCTTGAACACGTCGAACATTTACTTGCGTTTCATCAGTTTTTTTATTTGTTGGTTGATGGAGTTGAAGTGGTTTTGTGAGCGGGGCAGCCGTAAGACAGTGCGTGAGAGTACGGACAGGACGGAGTCGGAGGCATTGGTCCAGAGGTTTACCAATATTCTTCCGATTTCCATTGCAACCATGCTTAGTCCCGGTCACCTTCAAGGCTTCCGTCGCCATAAATTCAGTCCTGAGGTTACGCCAGGTTTCATCGATGATTCCTCTTCCGTAAGCAAGGACGTCGTGACGGATCCGTCTCGTCACCACAATGGCAAGGTAGTCTACACAACGGTGCAGCGGCCGCCCAGCGCAGAGAAGATTTTTGCGGCATGGGGTAAAGCACTGGCAATTCTTCGTCATTCATTATCTTCCGCAGGGTGTTCGGCAGAGTGCACGTGGGAGCCCGACTGGCAGTTCACCGTGACGAGCGGGCAGGTGTTGGCAACTGTGGGCACGGTCGATGCCTCCGTGGCCATTTGGTGGGACAGCGCGACCTGCTGGCAGCACCTGGGCAAGCCTGCGGCGGAAGTACAACGTGCGTTCCTCGTGTTCACAGATTGACGAGGTGCTGGGGTACACAGCTCTGGTTCAGTCGCTGTTAGTTTTTGGAACACTTTAAGGGGCGCCCTGGGAATGCCAAGATCACCAAGGCTTTCTGGGACCTCATGGGCGAGTCCGCAGTCATATTGCAAGGAATTCTTTCGTGGGGCCCTAGTGCAGGCTTCGTCTACCACGGTCATGTTGCTCTTAGCCGGGAAGTTTTGGACTGTGGCTTCCTTATTCATGGATTTTGGGTGCCGGCAATCAGATTTGAATGTGCTGCCTTTATTGGGCAGCGTGCGTGGTGGGCACACAATAAATGTTCATATCCGTGCATATTTTGGACCATTTGGAGGGGGCTTGGCGTGCGTGTTTCTGGCGCACCTTTTTTGGAGGACATGTTGAGATAATAGTGGGTGTTGATGCGACCGTTTTTTCCTCGCATGCTATGAAGCTGTCATTGGCCACCTTGTCTTCATCTCCGGAGTGCGATGCGCGAACCATGGCACGCACTGTATCAAATTTGTTGGGTACTGTTGGGGTGAGGGCGTTGAACGCCTTCGGTGGGCCTGGCGTGGCTGACACTTTCGAGGATTGGATTTCCCTCTGGCCATGTCCCAGGAGGAGGACGATCGCAAACAGGGCCCACATCGATTTGGTCGCTGTATCGGCGTACGTCTGCGGGCAGGTTTTTTCCCGAAGGATTCGACACCAGACTGCTCTGTGCTTGTGGTCATCAGCCTTTTCTCGGACTGCTGCAGGGAGTGGATTGGCAGACGTCTTACGTTACGACGGTTCCGCCGACTAAAAGTGCATGATTGCATGATTGGTCGGGTCCCCAAGTGCCTCTCTGAGCGCAGAATTCGAGGCTGGCTCCTCGCGGGAACTCTCCAGGCCTCGGTGTCCCGGATTGCCTCCGGGACCCCCATGCCACGATCCAGCAATGTCGCAGGAGCAAGGGCCATTCGATTACACGACGGTCGTTGGAAATAGGTAGTCTTGGATTCCCATATTCCAGTCTTTTTTAGGCGCCTTCCTACTTCAAGAATCGGCTTGCCTTTGCTGTGTTTGTTATTCTCTGGGAGGGCCTGGACCCAATCTACTATATCCGCCTTCCTACTTCATGTTTCTACCTACTTCTTCCGACCGACGTGTAATGTGCCCGTGAAAACCACCCGCGCGTTGGTTTCAGCTCTTTTGGACAATCTTGGGACGACGCAGTGCCGGAGCTGCGCTGGGCTAAGCGGGCGGCCGAACATTTGCGCGATGAGACGAGCGGCCCTCTGCTCGTGCAGGTTGTCCTCGAGCTTCCTTTCCAGTCGTCCTTCGATATTTTTCCCGTGTGGTCGGCAGCCTTGGGTTCGTGAAACTTTTGGGTTGTTGTAGCCGTTTCGGAAAGTCGTCAGGTCAAAAGTTTTCGCCAAACAGTGGGCAAGATTTCTGCTTTTGTTTGGAGCAATCTGGCGGCGATGGTGTGCCGCAGCTGTTGTTGTTCCATGTCTTGTGCGGGGGGTCAAAGATATTGCCCAGTAAGTGCACTGGGCTTGACGGATGTCCTGCCGGTGTATACTGCGACCTCCAGTTCGTTCCCACGACGTCAAGTTGGGAGCATTTTTCTGCGTGCCTTTCGAGCTTCAGCTCAGAAGGCACGCCGCACTGGCGCGTGATCGAATACGCCGGTTTACCCGAACGAATATATCCTGACGACGGATCCAGCCATATGCAGTTGTGAGCGCCGCGTTGTGGGTGCCGGTTTCGGTGGAGGTCGCTATTGGGTTACGAAGCGTCCTGTAACGGATGTGGGAGACGCATGCGGCCGCGACCATTGCGTCTTCGGTGGGGCTCCTTTTGGGGCTGCGGAGCGCTGTGCTGGGCGGGGGAGGGGGCGCCTGCGGCGGCGGTTGGGTGGGGGGCGGCGCATGCGGCCGCGGCCATTGGAACTTTTGGTGGAGCTCCTTAGTGGTCCACGAAGCGCTGTGCTTGGTTGGACACGCATGCGGCCGCGGCCAATGGAGTTTCGATTGAGGTTCATATGGGGCCACGAGGCGCTGTATTGGGTTGGGGGAAACGCGTGCGGCCGCCGTCACTGGGTTCTTGGTTTGAGCTTCCTGGGGAACCCGGCACTGCGCGGGGGAGGCGCATGCGGCCGCGGTAGCTTTCGGTGGAGTCCCCCTTTGGGACCGCGAAGCTTTGCATTAGGGTGCGCTGACGCGTGCGAGCGTGGCCTCTGGGGCCTTCGTTGGAGCTCCCTGTGGGGCCGCGAGGCGCTGTGCTGGGTGGTTGCGGGCGCAAGCGAGCGTTGTGGGGCCACGTAGCTCTGCGCTGGGTGTCGCGGGCGCATGCTAGGGCCTTCGGTGGAACTCCCCTATAGGGTCATGTGGCGCGCGGGGGGCGTGCCGAAATGGTGGGCATTCCGAACGCAGAAGCGAGGATGGGGGAGGAGGAGGGGAGGAGGAGGAGGAGGAGGAGGAGGAGGAGAGGAGGCGGAGGAGGAGGAGGAGGAGGAGGAGGAGGAGGAGGAGGAGGAGGAGGAGGAGGAAGGAGGAGGGAGAGGAGGAGGAGGAGGAGGGGGAGGAGGAGGAGCGAGGAGGAGGAGGGAGGGAGGGGGGGAGGAGGGGGAGGAGGGGAGGAGGAGGGGGACGAGGGGGAGGAGGAGGAGGAGGAGGAGGAGGAGGAGGAGGAGAGGACGAGGAGGAGGAGGAGGAGGAGGAAGAGGAGGAGGAGGAGGAGGAGGAGGAGGAGGAATAATAATAATAATAAGAGTACTAAGAATACTAATATTAAGAATACTATCAAGAATAATAATAAGAATAATCAGAATAATAATGATAATACTAATAAGAATAATAATAAGACGAATATTAATAATATGAAGAATACTGATACGAAAAATAATAGTATGAATAAGAATAAGACTAATAATAATACGAAGAAGAATAATAATAATATTAATACGAGCAATACGAAGAATACTCATAATAATAATATTACTATGCATAACAATAAGAAGAACAAGACTAATGATACTGATATCAATATCAAGAATAATAATAGTAATACTAATAATACTAATAATACTAATAAGAAGAATAATAATACTAATGTTAAGAATAATAATAATAATGATAAGAAGAAGACTAACAAGAATAATGATACTAAGCATAATAAGAAGAAGACGAATAATAATGATAATAATACGAATAATAAGAATAATAATACGAATAATACTAGTACTAATAATAATGATAATAATAAGAATAAGCATCATAATATTAATACTAATAAGAAGAATATTATGAATCATAATAATACGACGAACAATACTAAGAATAATAATAATAATACTAATAAGAAGAATAAGAATACTGATAATGATAATACGAATAAGATTAATAATAATACTACTGATAATAATGCTAATAATAATATTATTACTAATGATAATACTAATACTACTAATACTATTACTAATAATAATCATAATAATAAGACTACTACTAATAATAAGGCGAATGCTATTAAGAATAATAATAATAATAAGAATAAGAAGAAGAGTAATAATAAGAATAATAGCAATAAGAATAATAAGAATAATAAGAATAAGGATAATACTAGTAATATGAATAAGAATAAGAAGACTAATAATAATAAGAAGAAGACGAATAATACCAATACTAATACTTATAATAATAATAATAATAAACATAATAAGAAGAGGAGGAGGAGTGAGGGGGAGGAGGAGGAGGAGGAGGAGGAGGAGGAGGAGGAGGAGAGGAGGAGGAGGAGGAGGAGGAGGAGGGAGGAGGGGGAGCGTCGAGGCGGAGGAGAAGGAGGAGGAGGAGGAGGAGGAGGAGGAGGAGGGGGAGGAGGAGGAGGAGGAGGGAGGAGGAGGAGGAGGCGGCGTCTCCTCAAAACGAGGGCCTGACGCCACACGATGGACGTGAGCGAATTCCAGGTACAGTAGTTTTGATCATTCCCAGGTGGCTGTCGCAGTTTGATTGCGTACTGAAATAGGGGAACAACAAGTGACATAAACATAAAAACTCGGAGGTCCGCGCGGATCTCTCGGATCGGCGCTGGGCCCCCCGGCGCCGCCTCCGGCGCCGCCTCCGGCGCCGCCCCTGGCGCGCGGAGCGCGCCAGGGAG